TTTGCATCATATGATAAAATTATCAAGGAAATAACTTACAGCATTGAATGTCTCGTACTCTTTTGAAACGTTTCTTGTTTCTCCAAAATCATAACACCACCCGCATATTGACAACCCGTAACAGAATCCCTCTGCTAAAGTTTCATTATCGCACCTCATCGATGTATTCATCTGAAAATTATTCACAAAATAACAACAAAAAGGTCGAAACGAAAATAAGTTACCTTTTTTGGCAGATGGATTGATAGCCTGACTTTACGCGTAGTGATAGGACACGAAATTTGTTTGCTTACACAATCTGGAATGAAAGAATGGAAGTTTAAGGACTTTTAGGAAAATTGAAATTGTATTCAGCCACTTCTAAATTCGAGAATGATAAAACCTAAAAAAATCTGAATAGTAATGCACTTGTTCTCCTCCAAAAAAATTACCGAAATTACAAAATGAATTGCTGAGTCAAAAATTGCTGAAAAATACGACACAGTTATTTTTTGCAGTTGACTGGCTCTAATTATTTTTAATCCAAACCTAACTTTTGATAAAACAAAGCAAAATTGTTTGGAATACCTAAAATATAGCCTTTCCGTCTTTTAGTTGTTCTTCTGGCTCTGCAAAAATTGGTATGCATTCCATTCAAACTTGGTTTGAAAAGTAAAAATAACTGAGTAAGCATAAGCGGGTAAAAAAGGAATACCTTCTTACAAAGAAAACTGTGCATTTATTAACAAGAATATGAATACATGCAAAAATGTGAACAGTGCCAAGTAACAAATAAAAAAGAGTCTTTAGGAGAAGCTGTAAAAAAATTCCGGAGAAAATATGTATTGAAATCGATAAGAGAGGATAACTAAGGTGATTTGGCCTACCAAAACATTTTTTACGTCGAAAAATTATAATAAACAATGAGAAGAATAACAAATTTTTCTTGCAACTTCGTAACAATGGATCAATCTAAAATCTCAAGCTTAAAGTAGAAAAGTACTAGATAGTGCCCTTTTTCAGAGCTTATTGACAGATTATTTGAGAGTCTCAAGAGAGTTGTAAATCACAGTCAGGATAAAAGAGATGAATGAACCATAGTTCACGATTTTGGTGACGAAGTCAGTTTTCAAGGTTTTCGATTCGATTAAGCTGCAAAATTAAAGAGATCGGACTCTTCTAAAAAATACTCAAAAGTATGAATTTTACTTTTTGGTAGAAAAAAATCTGATTTTTATTTGTTCAAGCATAGAAATCGTCATGACCCATAAAATATTTCAATATATGTAAAGAAAGTTTTCATGTAGGAAGCTGAGAATAATTACTTGGAAGTGACTACTAAATAGTTGAAATTCGCATTCTACTACATCTTTGCTGCTAAAAACAGAATTCTGCCTCCAGCATTGGAACAAGAACAGAACATCTCGCAAATTCGAAGTTTTTGTTAGAAGCGCGGAACCACTCACTTCTGGACATGTTGCTATAAGACAAAGTTGAAACGGAGATTTTTCGGCACCAACACAGAATGTAAGTCTTTGTGCACGGTCAGCTTTGACTCTATTTTTTTTTGAAAAATCAATTTTCATGCTTATTTCATAAAGGCAGACTTAAGAATGCACGAAGATTACTGTCATAACAACTAGAACATGCATTAAAAAATTTCTCATTAGAAGGCAAAGCTGTTTTTCAGAGTAACTCTTCAAGAACCAATTAGAGGGAAACGATCATGCTTAGGTATAAGTATGCGAAATTCTGTTAGGGTCTCTGGAACGTTTTAATTTTTATACTAAAGATGTAATCGGCTAAATTTGATAAAATATGATGAATATCAAGAAGTAAGTAAAGTTAGTGGAATTGGATATCATAGATTGAAAAGAGATGATATGAATACTACAAATATTAAAAGAAATACTTTCAGATTTCTGACAAAGTACATTCAAGTGTAAATACTATACTAAGTTAACTTGTCAATACTTGATGAAAACCTATAAAAATAATTCTTAGGTAATTTATCAGTACTGATTACGTGAACCTTACTTTTTAATCTGTTCGAAATACTCAAATTGCATGATGTTATAACGCTTTGAATTTGCATGATTCGTTCGATTTCTTTGACCTCTACTTTCTTATCAATTGTCCAATCCTATTTCTAATTTCATATATGTATATCTTAGTGACTGTGATTATTTTAGTACAAAAATAAGTAAAGTTTGGAGCGAATGACTAACTCAAGCTTAGGTGGACTGTACTGTACTGACTGTTTTCCGCAGATTAAAAAAAGATGAGTCTATGAATCTTTCCCATGATTCTTGATTATGAGATTTAGAGTAGAAAAAATTCTGCAACTCTTTTTCTAAGAATCTGCGAAGCTATGTAGGCACGAATATTCTATGTATGGCATAGCTAAAAATTTTAGTGAGAACGAAATCAAATGTTTTGAAAATTCCATACTTTAATTTTCGCTATGAAATAACGAACTGAGCATTATTTGTTATATATATTTTTAAAATGTATTCATGACATGCAGAAGTAGGCAAAAATCTGAGGTCAGGTCTTATCGTTTACTTCAACTTGCTTTCTTGTATACTCTAGGTTTTCTAGGTTTATTTAGAAGAAGATTTTTATTCAGAATATTTTTGAAAAATTAACAAAGGCAATCCCTCAAAAAACTGTTTGGGGACAAAAATATAGAATTGAAGGCAATTCTTCTATAAAAAATAAGTTTCCTTTTAGACGGCTACTACTAGACGGATCATTCAATTAAGCGCGTAAACTTTCGTTTCCTCAGTGCGGTGAAGTGTGATGAACGGGAAATTGGTTGGTCATCCATTCAACTCGAAGACGCTTCAGTACAGGGAAATGCTAAGGAAAAACATAAAAACCTAATAGTGTTCTTGGCGTCTTGGATGCTCGACAAATGAGAGATCGATGAGGAAATGCTATTTTCTAAATGATACTAACAAGAAGTGAGTACAACCACAACCTGGGGCGGGACACCCACTCAGCCCCGATGTGTCGTGTATGAGTGAAGCTGAAAGGGAGTGAGTACATCATCTCAGAGACTGAGGACATGTCTTCGCTTATGCTCGAGAGTAGAAGAGATCACTAATTTGTGGTCTGCTGTAGATATTTTATCCATATGAAAATTTTCAAGCACTTTGGACCCTTTTGGTGCCAGCCTTGTGAAAAAAGGCCATCAAAAAGGCCCACTTTTTCGTGGTCCGACTGCGGCTTGGAACTGGATTTAGTTAACTTGAATCATAAGATTTGTACCAAACACATTGAAAAATTTGTTCTGGAATGCTAAAAGGGCGGTTTCAATTTTTGTCTCATTCTTTTCTCGATGTGTGATATGTATATGTAACGTTCCAACATACATACTATTTTATTTCAAATAAGATCAGAATAATTTACTAAGAAATTCAAAAGATTGTTCCATGCTATAATTTTTTTCTAACTGAAAGAAAAACTAGTTTCAAACAGCTTCAGCTTCACATATCGCTGAAGTTATAGAAGGCTAAAATCTATCGACAGCCAAGCATACATCGAAAATCAAAACTTTCGTAAAGAAGACAAAATTACGAATTAGTCTCAGTTAGGAAGAGTGAGCTATAAAGCCTAACGGAAAAAGAGATATATACATTTTGGAGGTTTTAGCATTTTTGCCATCAATAAAAAATATAATTTCAATAATTATCTTCTCTGAGAAAGTAATGCTTACTTCAAGCAACGATAGAAAATGCACAGATTTGTTTATTGAATTCATACATTTAGAAAAATTTTATGAGACTTGAGTAGTTTGTGGATGTTCAAGAACTTGGCCTTTTGATGAACAAAATTTGTCAGAAAAGAGCTAGAAAATGAAGATAGCATCTGTTAAAGGGATATGGTATTTTTATAGTGGTTCCAAGACTTTCCACTTCCAAGACTCGAATATTCAATGTTTAGATAACACTACCAGGTCCCAGCACGAGGGTAGCAAATGTCAGGCTAGAAATCGTAGCGAGAATGCAAGGGGAAGTCGTAAATTCGCGTTAACATGCACACACGTATCCCTCAGACATCCTTGATCACATGTGGAAAAGCTGCTACCAAACTGATGCGCTCGAATGCTATCTTCCTGAGGCGCGCGAATTTCAAAAAAACCATTTCGATATTGGTTTGCGGATTACTCGCTAGTATACAGCTCACGACCAGCGGGTTCACACCAGATTTTGTATGCGCACACGAGAAGGGGGGGGGGGGGAGTATAGATAAGGTACGAGAATTTTGGACTAGTATGAATGTTTTGCGTTCTTTTCAAACTTGTGTGCTCAACATTTTATTTATTTGAGGTGGCAAGTGCCACTTAGAATAGGCTTCCATCAATTCATTCGTTTACTTGGAATATAATTTTTTGAGCTTTTGCACAATCAATCTATGTCCAGTTTCAATATATGGCAGTAAAATATCAAGACCTAACTAGAGGATCTCTACGGTTGGAAAGTCGGGAGCAGTTGGGGGAGGGGGAGGGGGGGGGGGTCAGCCAGCAAAGCATCAAATCCTGCTCTCAAACGAGAATTGGTTTTACGCTTTATCGTCTCAATTGGCCAACCATGTATTGTACTTAATACTCCAATCCCGACACTCAGCGGTCCACAGAAACTTTGTATCAAGGAACTCTTGAAGAATTTGATTATCTGTGGAACAATCGCGCTGTCCCCTGATTTATTATTTTTGATCTACTAAATCAAAGTAATGATTGTTCTGTGCTAGAGATCCATTTCTGAACTTGTTTTTGTCTACCTTTTTCCTTAGTTTTTTATAAATTCTTCCAGAGAATGTTGTACCTTGACTTACAAAGAGATAGCGTATTTCATTCTATTTTGGGAGAATTTAGAATGATTAATGATATGATGAGTTGCCATAACGAGAGATTTGATAATAGAAAGCTTGCTGTTCTAGATTAGTCTCATGCCCTGTAGCTGTACTTGGAAAATAGGACTAAAATAAAAAGAGTCCAAAAAATTTCTTTTCAGACTACGTAACACAATGAAGTGTCCTTCAACGATTACAATGAAGAAGTATCGGTTTCTCTACAATATTGACGCAGATATTACACAGCTTCAGCCATTTTATGAAGTGCGTATCTCATCTTTACGAGGCAAAGAGTTCAATGAAACAAAGAGGGCCGACTTTTTTTATAGTGTACTTTGTGTCAAAAACACGGCTATCACATTACTCGACGTAATCAAGGTATTCGAGTATAGCAAGTTTACATTCTTTGTAACTGTTGTTTTAAAGGTCAGGGACATACATATGTCATTTTGCAGATGCCAAGTATCTTCATCTCCGTTGAAGCCAGAACAATTAGAACATCGAATAACTCAAATCGAACTTGGCGACAGCTGATGAAGCTCAGAGGAAGCGAAAGGTACTACCACTTTCTCACAAGAATTCTATAGGTGCAAGAGAACTAGGCAACTGTAGATCCTCATCGCCTCAGCTCGATAAACTTTCAGGAAAAGTTTGTGTTTGAAAATAGTAACCTCAGCCTTACTTCTACTACAAAAAACTAACATCTGCGTAATATATTTGTCAGCATCTCCATATTAGTGCAAGTTTCTTCCATCTTTTAACGTGAATATTTTCTTATTAAGCAAACTGAAAGGTCAACCTTTCACGTATTTCTTCAAAGCTATTTTAACCCATTGACGACGACGCCTAAATTTGCGTGGCGTCGCTGTGAAACGGCGTGATTTTGCACAATACTTTCGGTGTGGGAAGGTTTTGTGGTAATTTACGAAATGCAAGGTTTTTTTGTAAACAATTATGAACATTCTCTTGAACGATGGAGCCCACAGGTCCCTCCCCATTAGTGCAAAAAAACTGGATAAAATATCAATGTGTGGAAAAATGCTAGACCTACAAATAACATGTTTTTGCAAGAAATGTGGGCCACCGGTGGTCCACATCGTCGTCAATGGGTTAAGATACAATACCTACTAACAAGGGGCGGACCCAGAGTCGAAAGTGCGAAATGTGGTAAGCTATACATCATCTAAATCAGCGTGAGACGCTGATTTCAAATCTGTATCCATTATCTGCGAAGCGGTTCTCTAAAAGGAGTTATGAGCCTCGGTTGCTCGTTGACATGTCAAGTTTCGTTAAGTAGGGTCCACACATGAAAATCAAGTATGGCCGTCTGGTGTAGTGGATAAGCGCGGAGCCCATGGACCATTTGGTTGAGGGTTCGAATCATTTTCCCGTTCAACATTTTTGCAAGTTACGAATATGTTTGTTTTGCGCTGTAAGGGGTATCCGGCGCACATGCACAGACTTCAGATCATAATCTACAGCTGAAAAGTTGGGATTTTCGCAGGTTTTTTTTCACCAAGGTTTTAGCCGCTGGTATGACAGTCAGCAGTATATCTTATGTATGTGAGTGACATTATGCTGTGAGTTTTTGCATAATTTCTGCTGCAAATTAACATTTTGAATTGGTAAGAGTCTCACTGACACACTTTTGGTAACCAAACATTTATACGCATCTATGATAGGATAGAACAAAGTGCTCGAAACAGAGCAACTTCTCGCAATGAGCACATTTGGTGAAAAATAATTGAGTGCAGTCACCTTCAAATTCCATATTTTATATTGAGAGCAGGCACACTAGCACATTGTCGCACACATACACTAGATTTGATTCCATTGACTGTCATACCAGCGGTTAGAACCTTGGTGAAAGAAAAATTGCGAAAATCCCAACTTTTTAGCAGTAGACTATGATTTGAAGTCCGTACATGTGCGCGGGATACCCCTTATAGCGCAAAACAAACATATTCTTAACTTGCAAAAATGTTGAACGGGAAAGGGATTCGAACCCTCAACCATCTGCTCCATAGGCTCCGCGCCTATCCAGCAGATCCTGACGACCACACCTGCTTCTCAGGTGCAGATCCTACTAACGAAACTTGACATGTCAGCGAGCAACCGAGGCTCATAACTCCTTTTAGAAAACCGCTTGGCAGATAATGGATACAGATTTGAAATCAGCGTCTCACGCTGATTCACATGATGTATAGCTTACCACATTTCGCACTTTCGACTCTGGGTCCGCCCCTTGTAAGTCTTTTCCGTAGCTTTGAGCACCATTTAGTAGAGAAGGCTTCAACCCAGATTTACAGTATGAAGCAAATCACCCGACTCTCTTGATTACTGTGATATTACGGTAGGAGCTTCGAAGAGTATTTTGAGCCTTTAATGGCTACATAATGTTCGAAAATAGACACTCTACGAGCCGAAAATCCTACCATTACGCTAAGCTGAGTCGCTGATTATTAATATGAAATTCGCATATTGCCTTAAGGCTTTTTTTCATAGGTTATGGCGTGTAAACCGCAACAACGTTTTTTCGGTGTTAGTCAGCAATGAGATTAAATGGCTTAGAACGCTCTAAAAACCGTAAAAAGTTATTTAATGAAATCAGCATGTCCGAAAACATTGCTACACAACATTCCAGAATTTTCTAAAAAAATTTCTCGAACGGTCTATTTCACATTCTCGCTTATGAAAAGCTCCTACCGTAATCCTACAGTAACAAACGATGGTGATTGCTCTGTACTGTAAATCTAAGTCAAAGCCTGCTCTACTGAACGGTTTTCAAAGCCAAACAGAAGACTTCGTGAAAAGGGAGTTATTAATGATAAAAAAATATGTACTTACTTTTGAGGGACCATGTTTATTAATGAGAAGTTCGGCTAACAGCGAACAAAAGGTATAAGACATTAGCCAAAGAATATTTACACACATCACAATGAATGAAAGTGACCGTTCTTTCAACAGTGAATGAAGTAGCCAAATTTTTTCTTCAATATATCATGGCCAGCTTCTGTACATCTCATAAATGACAAGCTAAGCTATTCGAAGGTTTTTTGGATAGGTGCGAGTATGCTGGACCCAAATGACATGAGGGTTATTAATTCGTTCTGTCTGCTTCACAATTTTAAATGTTGTTAACTTTTCTGAAATCAGAATCTTCAAATTTCAACTTAATCAAGCATTTATTTTTTTTAATATTTTTTAACATTCTATATTCTACCGAATGTTTTGTCGACAAAAATAATCACGCGAAACTGCGAAGAGTATCCAATGTCAAGGCGATCCATGTAGCCTTTGTTGCACACAAGTTTACCTAAGCAAATCAAAAAGCCATGTTTCATTGACCCCGCTCTTTTAAGTGCACCGCCTGTTTTCAGGGAGGTATATTTTTCACTTCTCACGCGAGAAGTAGCCTTTTGATGTCTGTCTGGGTTCCGCTTGCTCTTCTTGCTAACTCTATCAGCCCTAACTCTTATTGTCTCAATGTCAAATGACACTTTCGAATTGTAATAATTGTATTTTTGAGTTAAAAAAAGAAGATCGCAATAATTTTGCAGTTCGAAGGGTAAGAAATTTAAAAGCAACAGGTTACAAAACAGCTTTGATTTGTTGAATAAAGTGCGGTTCATAATTATACGAACACCCCAAATTTTGAAAGTTTTTGGACTTTTTGGAAGAAACTCAAAAAGCCGTTGGTACCACGCGATAGAGCACAGCCGAAAACGGTATACGATCCACAAGAATGGAAATCGATGTCAATCTTAGGAGTGTTTTTGCGCCTAATGCGAATTTTTAGCGGTTCATAATTATACGAACACCTCAAACAAAAGGCCATTTTTCATTCAAGATTGCAATCATTTGAGTCCAAATTGTTTGTAGAGTTACAGTAACAAAGTCTGACATATCTGCTACACATTGAACCCAGTGCAGCACAAAAAGAGGATCCTTACTTTTTTCAGATGGCTCTAAATGCTTTTGGAGTGATTGCGCTCCAAAAACATACGTTCTTCTGTGGTTTACGCGCTCTAATCAGCTTGCACCAAGGCTTTGAGATAAAATAAGCTCTTTCGATAGATATTTTGTGTGACGCTTGGAAAATCTATGCGTTTTCGTGCCGTTTTTCAACCAAGTTCCAACCTTGCCCTAGAGTTAGCACGATTTCGAGCCTCAAAACTCAGCTTCTCTCTCGCGCAAACATTTGATATGAAGCAGCTGCATTCTTTGCATGATGATGTATCCGTGCCAACGTTTTTGCATTTTTGTAGAACTGATCTTGAAGCTATGGAGCAAAAAACCAAATAAAGTTGTGATTGCAATAGTAAAAATAGTGGTTTTGGTGAAATGACGTCCGCGTAGCCAAAACAAACGCTCAACGCTGCTGATTTTTTCTAGCCAGATACATAGTCTTGTGAACTTCTACATACTATTTGCTTAATTCATTGTAGGGCTTCTGAAGCTGAGTTTTGAGGCTCGAAATCGTGCTGACTCTGGGGTAAGATCGGAACTTGGTTGAAAAACGACACGAAAACGCAAAGATTTGCCAAGCGTCAAACGAAATACCTATCGAAAGAGCTTATTTTATCTCATAGCTTTGGTAAAAGCTAATTAGAGCGCGTAAAGCACAGAAGAACGGATGTTTTTGGAGTGCAATCACTTCAAAAGCATTTGGAGCCATCTGAAAAAAGTACGATCTCTTTTTGAGCTGCACTGGGTTCAGTGTGTAGCAGATATGTCAGACTTTGTTACTGTAACTCTACAAAAAATTTGGACTCAAATGATTGCAATCTTGAATGAAAAATGAGGTGTTGTTTGAGGTGTTCGTATAATTATGAACCGCTAAAAATTCGCATTAGGCGCAAAAACACTCCTAAGATTGACATCGATTTCTATTCTTGTGGATCGTATACCGTTTTCGGCTGTGCTCTATCGCGTGGTACCAACGGCTTTTTGAGTTTCTTCCAAAAAGTCCAAAAACTTTCAAAATTTGGGGTGTTCGTATAATTATGAACCGCACTTTATAACACCTACAAAACCATCTTCGGCAATGTCTCTGTCTTCTGGTGATATCATGTATCCGATCTATTTAGCTCAATGAATCTCACTGTAAAGCCTAAGAAGAAGGTGATTGTCCAAAGCCTAGCTTTACTTTTGCGATTTGGGATCGCTTTATTACCCTAAAATTCCATAGATAAGAGCGGTTTAATTTACCGGTGAAAAAATGAATGAAAAAAAATTGAAATTGAATGCAGTCATCCCTCTAACTTGATGGATGGATAAATAAAAATCGGAGAAGTTTAGAAGAAGCTCCGCTCCTCAACTCTAAACTCCGCCCACTTAATAAAGAATTCATATAGAAAAATAGCGATTTTAACGGAATTTCGGAATTTCTATTTGAATTGTTTATTAAGTGGGCGGGGTTTAGAGTTAAGGGCGGAGCTTCTTCTAAACTTCTTCTCCAATTTTTATTTATCCATCCATCAAGTTAGAGGGGTGACTGCATTCAATTTCAATTTTTTTTCATTCATTTTTCACCGGTAAATTAAACCGCTCTTATTTATGGGATTTTAGGGTACTATATAAGCATTTGAATCAGATCAGATTTATCTAAGTTTTCAAAAATCATGCGAATTCAATAAGATACTCATCTTAAAATGGGACTAGGATGGTATCGCTCCCATCTCCCCAATCAACTAATGAATTCTCTTTTGTTGTTCCTTGCTTTCAAACACATCAGTTTTGAAGTCATAACGTGTCACTGTTTTGTAAGCGAGCTTACTGTACTATGCAGTACATGATGTTGCCTTTTGAATTTCGCGCGCTTGTGCAACAACGCCTTGGAGCACATCAGTTGTGTAGTAGTGTAGTCTTGCGGGACGTACCTGCAAATGTTGAAGGGATAGTTATGTACATGCATGTTAGTGTGAATTTACAAGGTCTCTTTGCTTTTTTCTTCAAAAACGAGCTAAAAGCAGAGAATCTGAAGCTACGAGAATCTGCTAGGTCTTGACCTACACCACCAGATTGTCAAAGCTTGAAAATGTTTTACAATGTAATGTTGATGAAATAAGTGCTGAAAAATGCCTCTGAGTCGTGCGTACTCCATGGTAGCAGAACCACCTACTGTGCCTTGTCTTTCGTATATTTTCACTATTGCAAGTGTTGTTATCACGGGTGGCTAGTGCACGATTAGCAGAAGCGCTCGCGTGAACCCCTAAAAACACACACACACGAAAAGCGAAGCACGAGCAAAAAACGGAAGTAGAAGACGAAGAGCCGACAGTGTGCGTGTAGATCAGGAGAGCATAGCGCTCTGTAGCAAGCTCGGTGTTGTTAATCCTTTTCTACGGACGAGACCCCCGAGACCCCCGAGACGAGGCCGCCTCTTGGCCGAACGGTCACTCACTGGCCAACTACTGACACCCTTTGTGCTCACTCTTGTGCTTACACTCATTTGCTTAGATCTAGTAGCTTTTTCCAAGTTTTCTGAACCTCTGAGAATTTTTTGAGAAATTTCTGGAAATTCTACCACGTTTAGGTAATGATCGCAGCACTTCTTCTATTGCCAGTAGTCCTTAGCCAGTCGATCCAGAATATTAGTGTAGGATTCCCAAATGCCTGGGATGGGGACAAATTTCGTGAGCTCTACTGCCCTAGCAGAAATATTCCGAAATTTCTAGGCAAGTTTAACTTGCATTGTCTACAGTACCCCTACCGTATTCCTACACTTTTCTTTTTAGATGGCTACTTTCTCTGTCAATTATCAGCTTCTTATGGGGACATGAATGCTCCTCCGGGAAAAAAACTCAATCATATGATTGATGCAATAGGAGCTTTGGGATCTTTTCACATTAGCAATGGACAAGTAAATTTATGGAAGCTAGAAAAGGCTAAAAAACTATTTTTGTTGAAATTTAGGTCATATTCTCATCGCAATACTATCCTTCACAACCCTACAAAATATGGGAGTTTTATGACCGTAACATGACAAAGTCCGGGGTGCCATGGGCTGGATGGTCCGACTATAATTTGACTTCTATGGCTAAATGGGAGCAAGTGAGTTTTTTGTAGAAAATTATTTTGGATCTTTATAAAAGTTTCAGATCCCTCCTAATCCTGATTCTGCTCGTTTCCATCCAAATCTCGATTTTTGGAAAATTGGAAACAAAATTTTGGCAGGAACTGAGGCACCCTACTGGATCGGATATGAATTCGATGTAAAGAGCAAATTAGAAATTTTTTTGTTTTTTACGAGGTAAAAAATTCTACTTATAGGTGCGCAGCCTAACCAAGTTCAAGCTGTTTGAATTTACTGAGGATAATAACATATTTTCTGCTCCTCGTCCCTCCATGATACCTATTTCTATGGCTATCCATGAAAGAAGTGATCCCGATGGCACCATTTGGGGTTCATTTTCAGCAATGAATTTTGAAGAACAGCGATTCTATCAGGTTTGTATTACATTAGCTTCTGTATATGACTAATTTGTTAATCATCTGTAGCTTGGTATTTGAATGTAACAAATTTTCCAGTAGTCTATTTCAAGGTTTTTGATGAAACTTCAAAAAGAGTGATTTGTTCAAACTTTTTTCCAATCAATTCTGCTTTTTTTCATCCTTCGCAGTACTACGTTGTTCAGGGTATTTTCACGATAAACAGCAAAGGTGTCCGAAAAGTAGTTGGTATGTTTGACTATGGTATTTGGGATCCAAAGGCTTGTGGAAGAAACGACGAATATATTGGTGAGTTTTGAGCCTTACTAAATAGTTTGTTTGATTGCGAAATGTGAGCACGAAAGCATAATTTATCTTCTTGGTTTCGAGAATGATTAGCAGAAATTAGTTACTATTTATTTTTTATGGAATTCTTGAAAATGTGTAAAGCTCTAGATTTTGTTTTCACTGTCGTAAAAAACCAATTTTTTAACCTATTATCGAAATCGTTATCCAATTTCTTCGCTTGGAAAATCATAGCTAGACCTAAGCGCTCGGGGGAGTTGTGTTGGTCATCGTGTGGTTCGAAGCAATGCACGTTTATCGGATGGACAAATACAGAGGCCCTTCCAATATAATCTTACGTGCAAACTTTTCATAGAAAAAGTTCATAATTACCGTTAGCACGCGATACACTTTGAACATGCTATGTAAATGATACGTGTTCTTGTGGCTGCGACAAAAAAAATCTGTTAAATATTTGCCCTTTAGTTTCATTCATAAAAAACCAAAGTACAGTTGATTGCAACAAAATTTCGTATTGCTTTAGCCGAAGTGATTTATAATACCTGAATACCGTATAGGTCGATTGATAGAATACCAGAATTTTTTGCTTTAACTTCTCACGGTTCTATAATAAATAAGATTCAAAATGATACTAATCAATAAATAATCAGCCAAACCATCTATACCAATTGAAACCTATTTATTAGAAATTAATCATACAATTAATTTGTACTGAAATCGTAACTTTTATTTAAACATACACAGAAAAGATTTTTGGTTTTGCAAATCAACGAATTTTAACTCAAATTTAACTATGTATTTACTGACTAACAAAATGACCCATTCCTCAAAAAATATCTAATTCCAGGTGACAAGACCTTACTTCCTGGCTACATTCACTCTATAACCTCGACAGAGAACTATGTGATCATTCCCATCACCTCACTTCTTATAAACCCATGCAAGTTCAAAGAACCGCCTCCATCTAATGCCCGGGACAATATACAAAAAGGCGGACTTTGGGGAATGGACTTTTATGACATGGTCCCTCTGAGGTAAATCCATAGGTCCCAGAGCGAGTTGGAGTAAAAATAGTTATGTTGCAGATTTCTCATTTTCAACAAAAAGACCAAAACTTTCGCTACGGAGCAGCCTCTAGAAGTGTTTCCTTCCATGTTTATAACTCATCAGCTCAACGCTTATGACTCCCCAGATGGAAATATTATTGCCGATATGGTAAGTAATCTATTCTTTACGTCATTCACAGATTACTAATCAATAACTGAATTATTATCGATCGATTACAGGTCGTTTACGATTCACATGATCCTTACGTCAAGTATTTCTACACTGATTTTCTTGTATCACAACTTTATCCAAGCACAGCAAGAGTTTTACGATTCACACTTGACCCGAGACAGCAGAGGGTAATGTACAACTATATTCTTCCCCAGGTAAGAAATTTGGGATTACTATATCTGATATTTCCTGGAGTTTGCTTTTAAGGAAACGATAGCTGCAGAATTTCCGCAAGTCAACCATAAATACGATCAAAAACCCTATCAATGGGCTTATATTGTTGAACATCCATTCGCTAGCAGTAATCGCATTATCAAAGTAAATCAGCTTGACTAACTTTGAGCAATTTGTCATTGGATTACGGTAATTGTAGATCAACGTGGATGAACCAGCTGGTACAAGAAATCAAGAATACAGAGCTGAACATAATGTCGTTCTTCATGAGCCATGGTTCGTGGCAAGACCAGATGCGGTCAAGGAAGATGATGGTGTACTGCTAATTCGAGCTTTAGATGTACATGAGAACAAAGGTTCTTCCTAGAGATTTCATTAAATATTTTCTGAAAGTTTATTATCTATTTAGCACAACTTCTTGTAATAGATGCTGGAACTATGAAGGAGATAGGAAGGGCATTTGTGCCAATATCGATTCCATTTGGATTCCATAACAGGTCCAGTTATACTAAACTATTTTCTACTGTTCTCGAAAAGCTTGTATTTTCCAGATTCTATTCCAAGCAAGATTTGGGACTGCCAGACGGCTTCTCTTTGGGTGCTGGCACCAGCCAATTCAGACCAGCAGAAAAGAAGGTCCCATCATCAAAGGTTAGCAACCTCGGTCCCAGTTATTTTTGATTCTGAAATTGCGAAATATTTCAGAAAGGATTCTATACGCTTCCTCTAAGAAAGTACTCTACTCCAACGCCTTCTAGTACGCCGTCCACGTCCAAAGTCACAGAAACTACGACTATACCAACTACGACAACTACTTCTACTACTACAACGACTGTACCAACAACAACCACTACAGCTCGCAGAATATCAACGACAACGAGGGAAGTCCCACGCACAGAAACAACACAAGTTTGGACATCTACAACTCGTCCTTCGACAACTTGGACGAGTCCAACGACAGGTTGGAATCTTCAAAATGTTAGTTTATGGTTTCTTTTACTAACTTTGCAGTATCCACTACACGTTTCTTGGCCACGAAAATTCCACGATGGTGGCCTTTGGCTGCCACGACGTTCGAATCACCTTGGTGGCATCAAGTACAACAAGGACAGGCCACTATACCACCATTCTCAAGTCGAAGAAAAATTGCTGTGAGTTTCTGAGCTCAAACTTCAGTTTGGTCATAATCCTAGCAATATTTTATACTAGAAGGTCAGCAATTACTCAGTCGAAACGCATTGTTGTCATAAATTTCGCAAAACTTCTTTGAGATATAGAGAAATAATATTTCCAAGGAAGTTCTTAGTCCGTCTCTGGGTATCCAGCGATTATTCCTTCGTCAAAACTGTCTCACAAATTACGGTATACTCAATCTATAACCTAAATGTGAAATTGTAGACACCATCCACGTTATGCGCGTCACCTCTTGGAATTCGTTCTCTATCTGCTTACATCTTTGGGGACTCCTTATTGACATTGTTTGTTGCCTAGGAGAAAAGAAAGCACAAAACTTTTTTTGGGAAAGTGAACGTCATTCGGCCCACTATTTTTGGTTTCATGCTCAGTCTGAATGTGTGCAATCCACACTTTAATTTACGAAAGGAAGCGACTACCTGCTTGTCTTACTGTTCTTGCTTTTTTTACCCACAAGTGTATGCAACCACATAGAAGCAGTTTTTTGGGGAATGGGGAATCAGTATAAAGTCGCGCACTCCTTGATCTTAGAAGTAATTTTCTCTTAAAAAGCTTCGGAGCACCTCCTTTTTAATCGTTTATCAAAGTCAACAATTTCCAGGTCAAAACAGACACTTCCGCCAACTCCGTCACTTTCGCAAATAATACTTCTACTTCTGTCGCTTCAGACTTATATTCTGAAACATTAACTGCACTATGCTCTTGGATTCCAAGAGTATTCTCCGGAATATCACCTGAAAACTGCTTACAGCAAGGCAAAAAAGCGGCAAGGTGGGCAATTTTGGAAGTTCTGAAAAATTTTAGTAATACTATAGTAATATTTTCAGATGGATCTCTCCATTAGCAAGTGGCTATGCTGAACAGTTTCGACTTGGAAAAGCCAATGAAGTAGTAAAGCCTGACAGCGCTCCGTCGGTGACGCCAACTCTGCGAGCGCAAAGGAGCCCGGGATACGGTAGTGATCCTGTCAGCCCCCAATTACCGTATCCTTAAGTGTGTCATTCGCTAAGTTTCCAAAAGCAGTAAGAGCTTATGTGATGTAGGACGCATCGTCCGTAAGTACACGTGTTATTACATGTATTAGTTGTTTGGCTTAATTTGTGGAAAAGAATAAATTCTTTTGCATGCCTAAACGCGTGCTTTTAAATTTGTAGTCTGAGGGTTTCCAGAAGGAACTCTTTATATTATTTTTTATTTTAACTGTCTTACCAAATAAAATCGTTTTCTTACTAGTGTGAAAGGTATTCATGTTAGTTCTCTTGACCTTGAATAAATTATGATAATATTTGAATAATAATTTTGAATGATGTTCCATAGAGCTCGATGGTGTCCATTATTAAGCTGATATTTGGCTGCCACAAGCAATTACACGTTTAGAATGGAGTGGAAGGTGAGTAATATTGAATCCGCAAAACTCAAACAGCTCTAAGATAGCTATTGTCAAATAAAATTAGTTCACTATTATCGGATTAAAGTTCATGGAGTACTCGATAATCTAGGCAACAGTAAAATCTCTTACATCAAATGACTTCATTTTTATGAACGCTTTTTTACCACGAAATATTAGGTCGGTGCAAAAGTTTTGTCAGTTTTTTCAATCCATCGGCAAACACGCTAGAATGAAGACGAATAAACACTTTAGAATGTATCCGATGCAGAATTTCTTCCTCTTTCCAGCTGCAAAAGTCCCATTGTGTTTCATTGCGAGAGTGATGAGATATTTGCAGGAAATTACAACCAGTCGTTTTTACCATGTCTAAATTTCACTAATTTTCAAAATTTTTGTATGAGACTTTCGGATGAGCCCTAATAACCACCAGGTAGGGCAAACCTTTTGCCAACTTATGCAATTTTTTGTAGCCCTACGGCTTGCCATTCAGAATTTTTATGATTTATTTTTTGAAGTGACCAAATTTTACATTTAGCCTATTTTAACCTCGTAAAACCTAAAATGTTGAACACTTCAGTCACCGTTCGATTCAACTTTTTCTCCTCTTTCTAACACTTGTCTTTTTTTGCCGAAACAGGCGAAATTTGTGGGGGTAAATCGCAGTATTTCTCAATTTCAGGAGTGCTCAAGACAAAACCTATGTTTCAAAATCTTCACAATTTAAAGCGAAAATCGCTCATGTACTTTGTAATTGTAGCGGTAGTAATAATAATCGAATGTTAAACCTTAGTAGTCTGTAGGGTTTTGCAGTGTTTTGGTGCAATAACAGGTTATGCGATTTTTCCAAAACACAAGACTTTTAGAAAATTATTTAGCAAAAATCTGAAAAAGCAGCTGAGAAAAAGAAAAAAATTGCATAAGTCGGCAAAAGGTTTGCCCTACCTGGTGGTTATGAGGGCTCATCCGAAAATCTCATACAAAAATTTTGAAAATTAGCGAAAGTTGGACGGTAAAAACGAGTGGTTGTAATTTGCAGCAAATATCTCGTCACTCTCGCAACGAAACGCAGTGGGAGTTTAGCAGCTGGAAAGAAGAAGAAATTCTGCATCGGATACATATTAAAGTGTTTATTCGTCTTCATTCTAACGTGTTTGCCGATGGATTGAAAAAACTGACAAAACTTTTGCACCATCCTAATATAATATAAATAACCGTTTTTTGTCCTTACTTTTGTTCAAGTGCCTTTAGTCGGGCTTATTCAATCGTCGTTGTCAAAGAATTGTTGTTGTTCAAAGAGTGGAGGTGACAAGCTATGTACTTCGAATTCAAATTTGGCTGTCGAATCCCTGTGGGAGCATGCTTTGTCTGTTCTTGTCCTCTAAGTGGTTTAATCTAAACAACCTTTTCTCTCAGGACGGATTTGGTAATGATTGCTTCTTGGATTCTACTTTGGAAGCTTCTAGTAAAATTATAGTATGCTTCAAGTCTTTTAATCACGAAAATTGATTTAAAAGAGGTTAGCGGACATTTCGTTGCAGGTTATTATATTTGTATGGTACAAATACTATTTGAAATTTTTGAATGTTGGAAAATAAAATTCGTTAATTGTAAATTCAAAGGGAATGACCCAAAGACTCCTCCAGCAAGGGATCCTTTTTTTATTCTATTTTTAACTCCTTGCTAGTGCACCTCTGTGCTTGAAATAGTAATTAAATTAGTAGAGAAGCATGAATATTTCTTGATTAGAAGGAGTAGTTCATAGTACTAAAACAAGATTGAAATTAGATTTCCTTGAACATCTTAATTCGTTTCTTGGCTCAGGGTTCAAAAAAGTACGATTCGAGTGTTTCTCTTTATCATCTTGTACTCATGCGAACCGAATTTCTCCTCAAGCAATACTTAAAAGTGCATGATTTCATCTCTATAAAATACGCTCAGCGTTATTTTTTTTTTCATACTGTGTTTTCCTTTTGAATTTCAACTCTTTGGACTTTTGGTGACTTTTGAAAAAAATTAATGTTTCAATAATTGGAAATTCACAATGTCTTATCAAGCCTCGCAAACCATGCGTGACATTTTTGCTCCCGTTCTGCATTATGAACCTGTTATTGTGAATTTATATATTGTGACAACTAAATTTTGCATCTTCAAATTCAATGAACATTTGTAGGTAGACCGGCATCTTTGCAAGCTATTCGAATACCTACTATGTGACGCGCAAATTTTCGTTCCGGCAAAGTTTGAGATTCAAACCGCTAACATACTTTTAGCAAATAATATGACGAGGCTGTAGAAGAATTTTTATAGCACAGATTTAGAGGTCAGCAGATTCGAATTTGAATCCGTAAAATGGAATCTTATGTTTGAAGCAATTTGCTCTATGGTGGAGGTAACTTGCGTGTTTCATTCTGTCTCATAAATTACCCAATTAGCTCGTTTTTTTTAGAAAAGTGCAAATTGAAGATTCATAATTACCACGTTTATGGGTTTATAAATTCCTGGTTCTTTAATGACCAATGCGATTTTTGGTCAAAAAAGTTAGAAAAAACAAAGCATCTTCCAAAATTTTTTTGGAGAGATCTTTACAAGGATTAATGATTCAAAAGTACAAAATCGCATTTTGAGTTTTGCTCTCCTTATGCTGGTTCGACGATTCTATTGATTTATAACCCGAATTCACAAATTTAGTGTTTAACACAGTTCTCAAAAGAAAATGTTGCTCCCAAGCATGATCAAGGTTAGTATTTATTTATCCACCTATTTGTTGCAGTCTAAGTCTGTATAAAAAAAACAAGAAGAATGAACAACTGGGATAAACGAAATAACTAGAGTCCTGAATCTAACAAGAGAATGATACCAGATGCAGTGACGAACCGAAATGATAGGGATATTATTAGATGCGTCTTGATAAGCTGATTCCAAATCTAACATCTAACTTCCATATCTGCTAAGCCCTTTCTAGAAAGAATTTATGAGCGTTTAAATGTCCAAATTTGGCAAACATTCAGTGCCACATCTTCAAGAACCACTTGTTCAAAAACATTTATGTGTTCGTTGTAAGTATGCATTCCTTGTAGTGGGTGTACTTAAAACCATGCCAATTACTCACTCCCACGCTGCTTTCCAAAGCACATTACGCATCAAAATCTCAATGACTTCAAATGTTTGAACGCCTATAGCTTCTCCTAGAGAAGCTCTTAGCAGATAAAAAAGTAGATTTGGAATCAGCTCATCAAGACGCATCTAATGATATGCATATCATTTCGGTTCGCCACTGCGACTTAGTATCCTTCTCTTGTTAGAAACTAGATATTTAACAACAAACTATTTGTGCCAGTCACGGGAGATATATGTACTAAAAACTCCACGATAGTACTAGGTAAATCTGAGTTTCTTGAGCAAAAATACTGAACAGAACAGTTTGAAATGCAGACAAAATCCAATTTTTTTGACTTTATGGTCAGTTGCTTGATCTATTTGTAGTTTTTGCATTGTCCCACAGCTCATATCTTCTACGCTGGTACACAAAAGGAATCGCTTTTCGAATCTTGCATTCAACAAACTACAAAATAAAAACAAGCTTCATAAGCTTGCATCTTCGAACTTCTGGCATAACTTCTGAAATTTTTCACTAACATGAAGCTGGTCGATTTTTTATGCAAAATTGCAATTTGCAGAATTTCTTCTGAAGACATTGCAAGTGTTGATGGAATGAATTAGAAATCAGAAATAATAGAATTCATTGTTCTTTATCTAGATCTGCAAACCAAATGAATTCAGAAGTCGTTTTTGCCGATTCATACTCTTAATCTCTTTGCAATCTCTAAACCTGAAATGCTTCAGTCACCAACACGCAGTTATCATGCAGATTCGACAATTTTAATAACTTATTAAATCCTGAGTTTTACACTTCAATGTTAATCATAATTATCAAAAATTATCATCGCTTCCAAGTAGAAACAAAGTCAGTTTTCATGTATTTACCCAATTCGTACAGTTTTATTAAGTATATAAAAAACCCAAAAGCAAGAACAGTTGAGAGAAAATCATCTAACGAGACCAGCTCCTGAACTGAGGAAAGTTTTCCTCATAACAAATAATTTGTGCTATATATCACAAATGTAGAAAAGACTACCTAATATGAAAAAATTCCAAAATTTTTAGCGAGAGTGTTATTCTGTTACTTTATTGGTAGAGTATGCGTTAAATGCGTACAAAATTTAAATAGCAAATATTTTGTTCTTTAGGTAATAGCATTTGATTTGATTTGTATCCTTTCTATTGTCCTACGACTTATAATCTAGAGCCTGTCTATGGAAAGGGAATTGCGCTTTGATTTTCAGAGTTTGAAAATTCTTTATAAACTACAATAAAAAATGCTTGATAAAGATTTTGTACCACAGTCTTCTGGCACAACTTCTGAAATTTTTCACTAACATGAAGCTGGTCGACTTTTCATGCAAATCGTCACACTGAGTACATATAGCATGCGCTTTTATATATGAGATGCACGAGATGCTTAACTTCTAGATGAAAGTGCACTGAAAAGAAGAAGGAGCAGGATATCTGCCATAACTCTCAGTTCTTGCTGAGGACTCATTAGGAAATGCAAATGTCAAGTGTGTTTTCTCCTTGGTTTGCTAGCCTTGAGTTTCTTGTATTCTCTCAGTAAAGTCACCGGAACGGATAGCTGCGTTTATCGAGTTGAGAAGTTTTTCAAAATCTTCATTTTCGCGGCAAAATTTAGTCATTGCAGAATCCACAATCGCGTAATCGCGTGTCTACGATATGTGTAGGAGCTGTGTCTAGTTCAGCTTTCACAAGTATATCCGTAATTCATTTATCTTTAGAATTGTGTAACAGCCCAGTCAAGGGACCCATATGTCCTTCATATAACTAATTACGTCAACATTCCTATATAAACATGCCTCATAGCTACAACAAATCGTCTTACATCTACTCCTCCAGTCGTAAATTGTCACATTTTCGCTTAAGAGCTAGTCTTTTTTCCCGTTGACGTCGATAAAACCGCATTTTGCGGATTCTAAAAAGTTCACAAACGGATATGCGAAATGGCATCTTGGCATTTTTGGATGAGTTGCTGAAGAGCACGGCGACCCGACCGGGACCGCTAATTGCGCGATTCTGTCTGGACATCAGAAGAATAGACTCATTGTGACTTGAATTGATGTCACTTCTGCTTTTGCCATTTTCTAAGGCTATCAGGAACTTCCTCTTATCCTCAGAAACTAGTTTTCTACTCTAAAAACTGTATAAAGTTGCTGACTTTTCAGGTAACTATGATGAAGTGGACATTCTTCTCAGTTTTTGTCCTATTCTGTGTTTTAAATGCATTCGCATGGGCTGAATCAGTGAGTTACAAATTTTTATTTGGAAGAATGGTCCTATACGAAATGATGTTATCGTTTCAGGCAGAAGATGCTAATATAGACCAGCTTATGGCACGAGTATACAGATCGGTACTACTTAAATCTAAGCGAAGTCGTAAGTTTCGGTATTTTTTTCAAGAAAAATTGGTCCAAATCTCGGAAAAAAGCTAGTAATTTTTTTTGGTTTCAAGTCATTAATCTTAAAAATGCTTGGGATTCCGAAATCGTGGAAAATCTAAAACCGAAAAACTGAAGCAAAGTTTCAAGATTGCAAAAAAAAGAATGTATGTATTAAAGAAGCACATCTTTTTCAGCATCAATGGGTCTATCACTAGCAGAATATATGGCAAATCCAGCCGGAGGAGACAATTTTCACTTCATACCATCTGGCCGAAAGTAGACAATATTGGCCTTCTACTAAAAAAAATAACACTCTTGACAGGCAGGATATAGTTTTCATATTCAGCTTGTCTTCTTTGCTCCTCTAACATTACCCCATTTATGAGCGTTACCATTGTTCAGTCACCAGCGCCGCGTTGCACTATTTTCAACCAGAAATCTCTTTGATAGAAATATTGCCCAATAAAGTGATGATTGGTTATTATGTGTTGAGATTACAATAAAAAATGTAAGTGTAAAAAAGCTTGAGTGAAACTGTCAAATCAAATTTTTTCCATGAATTCCTCGAAGGCATTAGAAGAAGCATGCATTCCTTGAGCCAAAATGATGAGAAATTCGTTTTTATGTTAAAGTGACGTCAATCGGGGAACTGCAGCGCCGCGGCAGCGACGCATTCGTTATGCAATGCTTGCGTTACGAAAAGAAAAGAGCTTTTCGGCAAAATTTAACTTGTTATTTTGAGTCTGATGGAAATCAGCGATAGAAACTGATCTTTTCGTAGGAAACGAGGTCTTATTGTTAGTGCAAATGCGTCTTTAACTCTCTGCGTATCTTCGTTTGATTATTAGTTCTAGCGCTGAGCGTCGGCTCACTCTCGCGTCGCTGCAATGGACGCAGCTGCACAATTTTTTTTCTTGGGTGGGGGAGTGGATCATATCGGAGAAAGTGTATAATGATATATCGAAATACACGTCAGTGAGCTTGTAGAATTTTTTCTTTTTATGTGTTAAAAGCAAATGAATGAACTTCGAAAATAAAACTATGAATTAATTGCAAAAATTGGTGATATGGAAAATTAGGTCAATGCGTACATATTACAGGTTAGACACTAGAAAAAATATTTTGAAATTGAGGAATTTTCTTTATTTGCTCAAATTCCAAGAGAATCTTCTAAATTTCATGAAATTGATGCACTGCTACATATACACGTCATATACATATATTTATTTATTCGTGATGTGACCATGAGAATGTTGAAAGACTCAAAAAAAATTTGCAAGCTGATAACTTTCACAATTGCCGTCAACTATTCGTGAATACCCAGCAGGCACAATGTGGAAAGGAGATCGTAACATAAAGAGCGATATAAAAATTTACATTTTTGTGTAGGTAAATCTATCGATATCCACACTATCAAAAATAATTACTACCTAGAAAAAAAACGAGCATTTCTCATTGTAATTTCGGGTAGAATGCAAGAAAATTCTGATGCAAAAAAAAGGCTAGAGGGGAGCTTTAGGGCTATACTTGAATTTCTTCGAGAGTCGGAGCATTGCCTGATGATATGAGACTTCCTCGTCCTGGATGAAGGGAAAGAACGGCTCGGCCATGACGTGGACACGATGGCGAAACCCCGGCACGAACGGCTTTGTGAGACGCGGAAAGTAGCGGTTCCTAGATTTGCACGGGGTGAGGAGAATAGGATGGAAAACAAACAATTTATGTTTGATATTCTCTGAGCCTGAGTCAAAAATTGTCCGTGCGAGCGCGGTGCTAGCACCGTGCAGAAATGGGCGCTTGCACGAAGCTGGAACGGTGCTGGCACGTGCCACTCTGGACGCAGTTTTAGAACATACAAGAGAAAATTGTAAAAATTTTGCTACATAACCGTAAAAAACATAAAAAGCATGCAAAAAGAGCTTATTTGTTGGTTATTGGCTCACAAACAGAACCGAAAACATGCCTGTTCCTGAAAAGAATGCCGTGGTATGACACTCCCGGCAGAATCCGCTCCGCTACTTAACGGAGCCGGAGCGAACATCGTCCTATCGAACATTTCGTCATGAACTGGCATTGTATGAGCCGTCGAAGAGCTGAGCGTGATAGGAGGTGGAGGTGGTGGCATCAACGAAAGCTGAACTCATGCTATACCACACTTCAAATTGAAAAAAAAAGAACATGGGGAAGGGGGAGGGGTGGAGGCAAAGCGGGAAATTAGTAGAAATTGCAAGGGTAAGTTGGTTTGTTATGGTTATTCGAGTGGGAAAAGCTTAGAAATAATGCAGAAATAAAGAAAGTGGTTAGCATAAACATATTAGTTCTGTTAATCAATCCTTAAAAATAAAGTAACAATAATAAAGTAACTCATTTTTTTTCTTCCAAGAAGAAGCTACTGAAATAAATGATTGTGAACGTTTTTGCAGTGTTCTATAGGACGATCGATAAAAAAGCAGGCAAAAGGTCTTTGTAAATTTTTACCAACGATGATTGAGCAAGGGAAGAGCACGTTGGTCACTCAGATCAAAGACAGGAGGCTGGACGCTGATTGGTCACCTAGTGTGCAGTACTCTGGGCGAGACTTTAGAGTTCAATTTCTTAGCCGCGAATGATCTCTATAAGTTGTCGATTGGACGATGACTTAGTCGAGAAATACAAAAATTAAAATACAAAAATTAATTTTACATAGAAATTTCAATCTAAATTCACATAGAAAACGCAGCACCCATACTTGCTTGGACAGTGCCGTTGAACAGATTTGATTAGCCACTCAGAAAGTCTCATTGAGAACGAAATCTTGATCACAAACAGCAGAAAATAAAATCGAAATAAAAATTATGTCTTTTCAGCTGAGAAAAATTGTTAGTATTCGAACTTAGATTCCAAACAATGAATCAACCTAGAAAAAATGAAATACAAGTGTTAAGCATGCTAAGATCTGTTAACTAACAGACGAACAAAAAGAAACGTACCGGTGAATTCAAATTGTTGTATTGATCGGGATTTGAAGCTTGATTAGAAGCATAGGTTTGATACTGAAGTTGTAACTTCTTTTTCGAGCGTTTGTTTTTGTCACACTGTAAACGCTGCATCAGTGTTGTGAGCTGGTGCGGCTTCTATGAAGCAATACGAACCTGTCGATATAAGCCGAAGAATACGCAAATGTTCAGAAATAACAATCCGCATCCAACTGCTACCGTAACCGATAACATCGTACTGTATTGTCCACTAGATACTTCGACATTTTCATACGGTGGCGATGGACTCGACACGAACGGTTTGGCGGAAATTAGAAAATGTTTAGTGGATTATAAATTAAGAAAAATACATTGACTCGTCTCCACTTTTGAACAATTTTTACCGGCTTAAGCAGAATAAGGTGTTTCAAAAAATACCCTGAATAACTTTTGTTTCTAAATGTTGACTACTGTCACGATTAGGCTAAGTTTAACGAGATTAGAGTAGTTTGAAGCCCTTCAGACTTGTCTACCAAGCTAGCCACATTCTTGTCAGTTTGTGTCATTTTTAATAGATTGAAACGGGAAAAGGATGAAAAAAAGACTTTCACAAATAGAATTTCCAAAATATAGCACTTAATTCAGTAAAAGAGCCTGTACTGTCGGTTCAAACGCATATTAAATTTTGTAATTAATCCAAAAACCAACCTGTAGTTGTCTTTTTCAAGCTTTCCGGAGGTGGTGACGGCGGCATCGGAGGCGCAGGAAATGGATGATTTGCAAATGGTGCAAAAGGCCGAACGCGTCCAAAGAACGAGTCTTTTCGGAAATGGTCGGGTAGCAAATGGTGCTCCTACAGATGTACAAAAAAATTGTATTCAGATCCTTACTAAAGCTAGGGATTTTTTACAAATTCAATTGGTAATCGGCGTTAAAGGAAGTGCTAAGGCAGATTTGACCAAGTACCACGTGGAAAAACAGATTGCAAGGCGTTATTTGAACCCAACGCTCAAGCAGAAGCCAAATGGTTCGTGGTAGTCGAAAAACGATTCCAAACCCTCGCCTAGACTACTTTCTACCTCGTTACAGTAGCCGAGGAAGCTTATTCGTAAGCTATACATAGCGAGGCGTCGTTAAGAGTTTAGAATCAACTTCCAGGGCTCGGCACAGCTAGAAAAAGCTAGATATGAGATTGGGCAAAAAGCAAGAGAGATCTCTTCTGAGGGATCTGAGACGGGGCTTTAGATTAAAATGCAGAGAAGATTGGAATTGAACGATACATTCAAATTTGTCCACCTAGACATCTCATAGCAGGCCATTACATATGACATGTTCTCTTGCAGCGCTGGGGAAAAAATTATGAAAATCTATGTGAATGAAAGACATGCTGAACGTTATTCCCGAATTAGCTGAAATGGTTCCAGCCGGGTGCCGGCTGAAAGAAACACGCTTCGAGCACATCATCTTTACAATTTGCATAAATTGTTGCTCATTCTAGAAGTTCTCAAACAAGCAAACAATTAATATTCTAATTCCAGGCTTTTTATAGCCCATGAAAGATTTCCTGTGGCGGCGCTCGCTCCGATCGCAAAGTGCGCCCCTATGCCAACCAACGCGGAAATCTTTCATTTTCACCTGGCACTCGGTGTCCATCATTCTTCCTTTCTTTTTCTCTTTCTCTTTTTTGCTTTTGTTGGTGTGCTATCAATCCTCTGTCTCAGGGACGGGGAGGGGGGTAGAAAAAATAGCGAGGGGAAGTCAAGGTTGAAGGAGAGGAACTGGAGAGTCTCCTCATTTCTTTGTTTTCTCTTGTTTTGGTAGTCTGCCCTTTATTCGTTGCGCCACAGCCCACATACAACAGAAAATGAGTCAGTAAAGGGGGAAGGAGTAGTATTTTTGGGTACCAAGGGGACTTCGTTTCAAAAATCCCTGGTTCCAGCTCGTGCCGAGCCCTGTCAAATTTCTCCACCACGAATGAATGGTATGATCCAGGTACCTGAATTCCTGAACACTGTTTCCGACAACAAAATCTTTTTTCCTGAACAACCTGTCTTTAAAACTAGGAAGCTAAGGAAAAATCTGGTTGTTATTTTCCCAAGAAAAGGACTGGGGACTTTTCTCACCTCAGGAATTTCTCCTCCTTCCTTTCCTGATGAGTGAAGAGCAGGCACTAAACTCGTCCAAAATCCTACTCGCGCATTTCGGTAGTAGTTTTTGACCCGAGGCCGATCAGCTAAACACTCTTTCTTAGGAGACATGAGATAATTCTAAATACTATGAAAACTTACTAATTTCTAGGTAAGCTTCTCGATTAGGTTGATCAAATTGTGGCCAGGCGGTAGCATGGAAGGCATCGCCCATTGGAAAAGATTTTGGCATTGGAGTTGGTTTTGAGGGATCGCTAAATTGAAGGTCCCCTTGTTGGACCAACAGTTCTTTTTGAAAGTGACTCACCCCGATTTGACAAAATTTGCGACATAATGCATAAGAACTTGCGAAATACCCCTATCCTCAGCGCTAAATCCAGAGAAGAGCTGAAAATGGCTTTGGTTAAGGTAAATACCTTTCTGATATCGTCTTTGAAGCCAGCAAAATTAGGTAACTTACTTTTTCCTCCTTGTCTGAAGTAGCCAGAGGGTACCCGAAGATATACGGTATATGATCACCAGATAATGAACCTCTCAGTCCAGAGTTTGGTTGTTCATTCATCCACGAACGTGTCTCGTGTCCGAATACGAACCTATAAAAATGTGCTTTTGAGAGCTACATTCATGTCAGAAATTTGTCAAGATGTGAAGAATTTATTATACTAAGGATCAAAGAATCCTTTGCGAAAATTGTGAAATAAAAATAAACACCTTTATAAAAATAAGGGACCCACATAAAAGTGTTTGCCTCTTTCCTTACTTCATCCGCACTGTGCATCCGTAATGTCTCAATTAGAGGAGCGGTAAATAGTACATCATTCAAAACTGCCAATACACCATTTCTTATTGATTTTGGATGGTCCTAAAGGGATAAATAAAGAGATTCGGGTGTTATCTGTTTTTTTTTGTGTCTTGAATAATGCTGCCAAGTTGACTTACCCTAGGATTTTCCCAGTCTGTGTACTCATTGATGATTGCTGCTAATAATTCGGAACGGTGATACTCGTACAAATTCCTAACAAGCGTCCTAAAAAGCAGAAATTGTAAAGTGCATGATCGTAAGTTTTTAAAATATAAATCATTATTTCTTCTTAAAAAAACTTCTCAACTCTTGCAGGACTTTGGCAATTATGACGTCTTTTGTAGCAGTCAAAAGCAAAAGACTTCCTTAAACTAAGATAGAATCGCCAAACCTCAAAATCTTTTGCCTCCTTTCTTTCGACAGTCCGGATTTGAGGTCCTCATTCGACAATAGGTAATGAGCAGGATGTGAGGCAAATCCCACAAGTAGGTCTATTTCTCGAAACAGTGAGCCGTACTGAGGTGAAAAGGAGATGCGCGGGGAGTTTGGGATCAGCTGAAAAGAAACGAAAAAAGATTAGATATGTGGCTTCCTTCACCAGCGAATTGAACTTCATAAATAAACTTGGAGGCAGTAGACAAATCTGCGTACATGGATGTATTATTATTATATGATCACTATCTGGAAGACCTTTGATCGTCTGATTTGCTCGTGGCCGGGATTCATAGATCCAAACGCTCGCCCAGACCATGTTTTTCTGCGCGCTCCTAACAGCGTCTCAGCACGATGGGGTATGGTGTGGGCTGGAGTTTAAGGTTGAATATCTCGGCCGCGAATGAATCATATAGCTTTAGCTTGGGCAAAACTTTAGCTAAGGCCTCCCGATTCGTTTCATGTGAAGCTCAAATATACAGCTTTGCCTGGTTTGAATTCAAGGTTCAAATGTTCAAGAAAGTTGATCACTGAAGTAAAAAATTCAGAATTATATTACCTGGCCATCAACAATAGGGGCAAAACCGCTGAGAAAAGTCGGAATCTCAATGGCTTGAACCGCCTTTGTAACGTTTTCTGCCGAGTGGTCTTGCATACACCGTAACGTTGTATCCGCATTGTCATTGAACGTTGAAGAACGATTTCGAGAGAGACACTTGAAAAAGATTTTGTTGATTTGTTTAAGGTCAAAATTTTGCGGAATTACCCCTAGATTCTCGGCGACTTGTGAGAAATACTGTTGCGGATTGTGGGCCATGGCCCAAGGTGCTAGAGCGGTTCCGTCGAGCAGAATGGCCCGTCGAAATAAGCGGCGACCCGGTTGTGTCAAAGGTGAGGCCATGAGAAGAGAGACCAATGAGGCTCCAGATCCCCATCCTTCAATTTTTCTTATTTTTAGGTTACGGTAGAAGATATATCCTGTTATAATCTCACCTAATATCGTGACAGACTTTGGATCGCCTCCAAATGGAGGCAAAACTACGTTGAGCATAGTCAATGCAGACACCAAGTCAGAAATGCCGCTGTTGCCCGAACATGACGAAAACTCACATCTTCCGAGAAAACCTGAGAAAAAACCGCTGTAAGAAAGAAGACCTTTCAATACCGTATACCTACCAAAGACGCCTAGACGGTAATTGAGCGTAACAACGACTATCTGTCCATGTGATGCGAGGATACTGCCGTTGTATGGACTTCCTGCATTCCAACCGTATTCATCACCATGTACGACGACAAGCACGGGAAGAGGTGATTCTCTTTGTGAGCTTTCTGAAAAAAGGGGACAATTTTTCTAGGAATGGGAAAATTGCGGCAGCTAAACATGATGAGTCGTCTATAAATTGCAGAATTTGGGCGGAAATTTCAAAAACCAATGCGGAAGAAAAAAATTGTCAACCACATAATGTTTAGTAGTAGAAAAGGAAAGTTGCAACCTACCTAATCGCTCAGGTACGAAAAGGTTCATATACAGACAATCTTCGGACTGCTGCTTCAATTTGGGGAGAAGACGGTGAACGTAGTCGAACCTTTGCGCTGACATCTGCTTGAAGGCCCTGGAAATTCAATGACTGGCATTTTTCTTTTCAAAGCAGATTTAAACAAGAGGGTACTTTTCAGAAATTAACACTAAAAACATATATATGTGGATTTGGATTCGATTCGCTTTGAGCGAAATAAGCTCAAAGCGAATCGAAATAAGCTGTCTCATCGAATCGAAATAAGCTGTCTCATTGCTACCGTAATCCTACGGTAACCCTAAACCATGCCATACTGCGTAAAATAAGTAAGATTTTGTCTACTGAATCTGCCTACTCATTTTATCGTCTTCTACACTAAGGTAAGGTGCCAAACTTATCCGATTCAAACGATTCTTCTGATTCACCCATCCGGTATTGGTCAAGTTGCTGAATTGACCAAGAACGAATGAGCTGGATCGGATCCGGTTGAAACGGATAAGCCTTGCGCCTGCCTATGTATCCAATGCAGTTTTCTACCCAAAGTCCAATTTTCTTCACATTCTTTTTATCTTCTCTTCTACAACTTTCTACTAACTTCTTGAGCAAAAGCATTCAAAATGTCAGCGAAATATTCTGTTTCACTACCGTACTCATACCATAACTCTACAGTATGCAATACCGATTGCGTAAAAAAATATTTACGGGGAGTACATGATTGCTTGTTCATTTCACCATGCTGCTACAGTAAAAAATAATGTTTTCCATATCGAAAAATATTGAATAAGTAAATATCCATATCCAATTTTTTCTCAAACCTTGTCTCGCTGAGTTCTGGCAATTGTGTTTGTATACATGCTGGGGCGAGTTTTCGTGCTTCTTTCGGTAAATGCGTCCATTTCGCTGCTGATATGGCCATATTGAAGCGAAACTGAAATTTCTACAACTTACTAACAAGGTACCAGCAATTTTCAATTGTTCTACCTGTCCAGATGGGGCTACACCATAGGGTACACCAAGAAATTGTGTTACTGGAGCTAAATCGACACCATCTGGGTGCACTACTTCACCATTCACCACACCCCACGCGGTATTGACAGATCGTACTTCGTAACCACTGTGCGAAAGTCCTTTTAGCTTTTTGCTTAAAATTTTGATTAAGAAAAGTCTTACCTGGCAAAGGTGACAAGGCTGAGTATCCTAAAGAAGACCCGCACAAGTCTGTGGGTATATGATTTCATCACATTCACATTATTTTCCTACGTACTGTCCTGAAAAGAAAATATACACTTTTTTGGTTGAGTTACATGGAAGCGATTCATTATTGACGATTAAGGACATACAAAAAATACAAGTTTACAAGTTCAAAATACAAGTTTTGCTCAACTAATTTTGAGCTTTGAAATTTGAAGGTTGTTAAACAGCCACCTTTATGCAGATTTTTGTAAAAGACTTAAGAGGAATTGATTTTTGACGAGAATGGAAGGAAATATTTGAAAATCCGGAAGTTCCCACCGTTTTTACTAGCATGATTAAACATTAAATTCATCCCACATAAGCTCTGTGAGCATTTTCAAGACATTATTGACAAAGATGTAAAGTATGAGACAGAAGCTGAGTCAAAGCTTTTATCTCCTGTTCGAAGTAAAGTAACTGGGAAATTAATTTGATTTACCCTTACATAAAAAAGTTTAGAACTTGAAAGCAACACGAATTATGTTTTAAGATGTTTCGAGTACGACTGCGGATTCCACAAAAGCACTCAAAAAAGTTCTACCTTTTTTTTGCAAGGATAAACTATTTTTCCGAACAAACTCGTACAAATGCAAAATTAGCTACTGAATCTGTAATCAATATATCTATGAATAGAGGAGCTAGCTGTGGATGTGCTAACCTTCCATCACATCCGAATTTTTTATGTGATTTTCACTTCTGAGAGAACAGCAGTGATACGGCCTCAGCTGTTCATTTTACACAAAGGCCACGAGAGCATGATGCAAGCAGACAGCCTCATACAAACTTTTGATAGAAAACCCACGAGGCACTAAATGTACCCTTCAAGATTATGACATTGACACTTTCAGGCCAAGCATACTTAGCAGAAGAAAAACTAAGTTTTTGATGATGAACTAAGATAAAGGGCAGTGGAAATGTGAACCTTTCTCGTGACAAGTTCAAAAACAACCGAATCGTTTTGTACAGTTTCGCGTCTTAACAAGACCATTTTCATAGTTTTTGCCATTACTTTTCAGGGCTAATAGAAAATTTTACGAAGATTTTATTTAAGATCTTTTCTTCAGGTTGAAAGATTGATATTCTTCTATCTCTGACTTATGCGGTCAAAGAATGCCTAGTACAGTGCCTGTTAGAAAATGCGCTCGAATCGTGACAATTGTGAGCTGCTTGTGATCTCCTAGTAAGATGTGACCTTTAAAAAGTCCATGAGTCCTTAAATTTTACTTTTTTTGTTTTCTAAACGCTTGCTCTCGATTTCTAAATAGAGATTCCTTAGCTTTCATCTATAGCCAGCAGATAGCCGTGCTTTCTTTATCAAGGTTTTTCTTAAATTTATCAGTCTGGCAAAATTACCTTTGTAAAGGCTTTTGCTTCAGAATTGTCAGTTTGAGTGCGATTGAAGAATGCAAATTCTATTTACGCATTAAGTGAGATGAATAATATTTGTAGCTCTCTAAAAAACAACACTACAATATTAAGCATGTAATCGCAGGCTAACAGAAAATTGCTAAAGAATAAAATCTAAAAGAATAATGATAGTAGAGTAAATCAAAAGTGTTAAAATAAGCCAAAATTATCTAGGAAATTCTGTAAATTCAAAAATGTAATTATCTGCGTTTAACACTTATTGAGAACAAGAAGACGAAGTTGACATGTTTTACCTCCGAGATAGCCTAAAGATATTTAGATTATAGAAGATAGATAAAGATGAAGTTCAACTTGAAGAAAGGGATTCCAAAAACCTTCGATCAACCTCCAAACAACTTCTGACGACAAATTGCAGGAGAATATGAAGGAGATGAGAGGCTAAGCTAAGCGCACGGAAAAGAAAAAATTCTCAAATTTTTACAAGTTTTGGGGGTATCTGAAAAGCAAGGAAAGATCCCAAAGCACAATGAGGCCTTTGACACACAGGAAATTCAAGATTTCAAAATGTTTTTCAAAGATTATTTATGCTGAAGTCAGGAAGGAAGTGTCCTCGAATGTCCTCCTTTTAGTCACTTAGCTGCATTTGCACATGCAAATCTTTAATGAAACATGCTTGCTGCAGGGGGCCTAGGACCATCGATGGACTCTTCCATAATGACATTTTCACGTAGGAAGTCCCAATTGGCCATCAACGTTGCCAACCATTTCTGTTCTGGAAGTTGTGAATAGGCGATGTTCCTTAGAATAACATGTTGCGGGTATGTAACTGAGCAAAAATTTTTGAAACTAGTCGTGAGCTGAAAATAATCGCAGAATATATGAAAATTAGATTTTTGAGATGACGCTAGTCGTGTCTGCTTTCATTAATTTTCTTCTTTCCGACTCACAGTAATGGTAATAGCTTTATGCTAATCTAAGACAATGATTCGAGATCTGAGACAGAATTGACGAAGGCAGACCCGAATGATGTCATCACATAAAACAATCAACCTCATCTTAGCTAAAGCCTGCAAAACTTTGCAGAGAATGAGAATTTCTTTGGGACAGCAAGATAAATAGAATTGACGCATTTGTTTTATAGATCTCGTTCATTCTGAGCCATTCGCTTCAGTTTGACAGTTGTACCAAAAAGCTCGTAGTAAGTTAGTCCATCTAATAAAGGGCATTTAGAGGTACAGTAGCTATAATCTGGAAGGTCCCCTGTGGCAGCATTTGTGAATTCTTTAAAAAAGTTAGAACTCCTTGGACAAAACTTGACTGTTTGGTTGATGATCAAGCTTTTTTAAATCCTGTAAATGAGATATTCAGCTGGCCTACACAAAAATATTTTTAAAAATGTTGCAATATAAAAAAGGTTTTTCCGAAAGGGCTGTTCAACAATAAATTTTGAGCAATTTTAGATTTTATTCAGGTCTGTGGAGTTCGCAGAAAAGACAAGCTTTTTTTACCCCTGTAGCTTTGATTCACCTGTTTTTATTTTATTTTTACTACATTCTAATTTCAGAATGATAAAAGAAGAAAATTTTCTATAACAAATGAGTGAAATGCTGGAATGGTTATAAAGTTGAATGGCACTAAGCAACCAAACCCAAACAGTTGCAAGCGATATAATTTCGTTGCCTTTTTGAAAGTAATATCTTAAGATGGAGCTTGGAAATAATAATGAATCGATAGGAAAACTTAAACTGACTAACACCAAAATTTGCTCGAAGTGAAGTCCGAGCTTGGAAATAATAATGAATCGATAGGAAAACTTAAACTGACTAACACCAAAATTTGCTCGAAGTGAAGTCCAAGTTGCAGCAATATCGAACACTAGAACGATGAAAATGTTAGAAGAACATAACTCAGATTTAGTATGTTTATCTGCAACAAAATCTCCCTATTCAAACGAAGTGACGTACGAGCTCTATTCGTCCACAATCAAGTCTTAGAAAAAAGGTTTGCAAAGTGGCTGAGGTAAGCAAGAGGGAGGAGCTTGCAATAAAATTTGAAGAAATTTTGGTGATTTTCACGTTAGAGAGTTTGGCAACGAAAATATCTTGCATAGCAACGTTTGTAACTTAGGCCTCTAGCTTACTTTATAGTAGAGAGATCTACGAAGTAAGTTGTATGGGTTCGAAGAAAAAATATTATTAAAGTGATTTTTATTGAAATGAAGAACAAGTTTATAAGGCACATCATGCTAACAAATCTTGACAATGGGTAAAAATATTTCTCTACGTCAATTCAGCTCTTTATTTTGACAAGCTCGTGGCTAAGATGATTGTAAACATGTATGTTCACGTCAGAAGAGAACATGAAACACAACATATGTTACGTACAACTTATGCAGCAAGTGTCGTTTGATTAACGACAAAGACGAGAACTATAATGTGGAACGACAATAAATAAACCTTTGGGTGTAGAAATTTCTCTTTTCTACAACTTTTTCAGACTTTTTAGACTAGGAAACAGCTTGAAATAAGCAGCAAAACTCGCAGAATTTTTCTAATAACAGTAAACCTTCATGATCTAGAAACACAATCAATAATTAACGTACTATTACCTAAAAATCACCGCTGCGTTTTATTAAAAGCCAAAACCTTCAGCAGTGCAGCAGACGATGGCTAACAATTAGAGCTTCAGAAACAGTCATTATGGCCGTGATGTATGGCTGTCGTCACCAGCCTACTGCTCGGAAGATTTTCGGCTCTTTTGAAGAGCTATTTTTACGTATTTGAAGCTACGTAAAGTGTATGATCTATTGCGCTTTCGGGATGGACATCTATTTTCGAACAAAAAATTCGCGTAATAAGTTGTAACAAACAAAAAAAAATTTTAGAAAAACCGTTTGAAACAAGTCACTAACAGTACTGTTACCGTAGACTTACAGTAATCTCTAATTGCTAAATTCTATTCGTGATAGAAAATTCCAATCTGAAAGAAGTTACCATTTAAGAGTTGAATGTTCCAAAAAGTTCAACAAGCCTCCAATAGTACTACTACCGTACACCTACAGTAATCCTTCACGTGCAAATTACTTGTGACAAAGCATTATCAACCAGAAAATGATTGCAGAGTTTTTCGACAATTTCAATAATTTTAATTCTATTCATAATTGAATTTTATATAATAAAGCTGCCTGTTTGCAACAAGCCACCGATAGTGCTGCTACCGTAAGCCTACAGTAAACCCTAGGGTTCAAAATTTTATTCGTGATAAGGAACATAAGTGATATGCGTCATTTTGAAAACTCTTTTCGCAAAAAATATCTCTGAACGCGACAGAATGCTTGTTCAATGACCGAATTCTTTAGCAAGGCTTTTGCACCCTCCTCCTCCCGGTTCTTCGCCAAGGGAAAATGGTGTAAATACGAACTTGGAAGGATAAGCGGCTAAGTGTGAAAGGAAGCATTGGGTGGTTGTCACCGTTGTTGCATGGACTACCATGGACAGATAAGTCAATCGCGCACTCAATTATGCAAATTCGTGGATGGCAAAAGATGGTTGAGACAGCAGCCCCGGGACATTGCGTATAGTGATGACGCGGGGAACGGGAGGGGGAGGGGGGGGGGGAAGAGGAGAAGGGTGGGAGGCGGTGGGGGGGGGGGAAGAGAAGAGTTTTCTC